TATTCTTGTCCAAAGGTTTCACTTTCTTTCCCTTAATTTTGTCCCCAAGATATGTTACCTCCATCATTACTAACACACTTTTCTCCGCACTCGCCCGCAATCCTTTTTCTTTTATTCCCCTAAATACTTTCTCCAATCTCCGTTTATGTTGTTCGGGAGTTCTTCCAGTCACCAACACATCGTTTATATAATAGAAAAACCCTATCATTCCTCGAAAAACGGCCTCCATTGTACCCTGAAAAATAGGAGCAGCTGATACACTAAATCCAAATGGCTATCTGCAAAATGCAAACAATCCCTTAGGCGTAGTAATGATTAATAATTTATTAACCTCTAGTATTACACGCAACCACAGATATGCATGAGGAGTCTACGTTTGAAAAATACTTCCCTTTAAATTAGCCAATATTTATTCAATTCGCGGCAACGGATATTTGACTTCCACAACCCACGGATTTAACTGACCCAAAAATCTAAATATAGACGGAGCCGGCCATTGGATTTCTTCACAGACCCGTGGAGTCGCCCATTTACTATATTCCACGGGACATACGATTCCTTAATTCTATTTCTACTTCTTTTCTCCATTTAAACGGTATCCGTCGTAACGCAGAGAATTTCGGTGCCTACCCATCCTTTAATTTAATATCCACTTCATAATCTCTAAGGCACCCCAAATCTTTATTGAAATTTTTTGATAATTTTGTACTAATCTCCTAACTCCTTCTTACACATTGGTCTTCTCCAATTTCCTCCATCTTTTTTCTCAAGTGACAACTCCTCTTAACTGTTTGCGTCTCGGAATTCATCACCTCTCGATTTTCTTGATACTACCATACGTTCTTTTCCCCAGTCTTTTCTTTCTCTTAATATCACGATATTATTTAACAAGTCCAACTTTCCCGGGTAATTTTTATCTATCTTTCCCCTAGAACTATATTCCCTTATTAGGCCCCCAAAATTTTCTCTCCTATAATTCTTTCTTCCTAATTCGCTTTTTGAATTATTCCCCCTTATTTCAGTCTTAGAATTATTTCTCCTTATTTCGCTCTTATGATTATTCCCCATTATTTCGCTTTTGGAATTATTTCTCCTTACTCCACACTCTCTAAATTATTTCCCCTTAGTTCACAATTAACATTGTCTCAACTCCCGGAAACACATTCTCACTCTCAAACGTCATAACTGAATGTTCCTCACTAGAGTACAAATATTCCCTACCATGAAAATATTCCCCAAAAACTATACCAGCGACCAATTCTAGTGATTCAGTCCCACTCCAACACAGCTTCGATTGATAATCCATAAACCTAATACATTAACCTCTAACCCAATGTTGCTTCAATTTCTACTCTATTAGCAAAATACCGATTTTTTATAGTTTGTATTAGTGCAGTAAACGTTACCTCAAAAAAGAAACGCGTTACCGTTACTCGTTACATTGGAAAAAAAGAGAACGCGTTACCCTTACTCGTTACCTTTTTAAAAAAGGAACGCGCGTTACTGACTTTTCAAAAAAGTAACGTATTACTCGTTACTTAAAAAAATTAAATATTATATACAAAAATATATTTATTTTTTCTTACAATATATAATATAGACAAAACTATAATAAATAATATATAAAATGATGAGATCTTATTATAAAAATTTTTCATATATAATATATAATCATAAGATAACATTTTTTTGTAATAATTTTTTATTTATTTTTAGCATTAATTGATTTTCAAAATTTTCATCAGACAACGTGCTAAACACACGTTCAATTGGAGCAGAGGATGGGAGGGTGGTATTATATTTAATAAATAAAAATTTTAACTCGGGGAATTTATTAAAAATATTTAAAGAAGTATCTTTATTTTGAAAAAATTTTAATAAAACATCTTCACGAAGATTTTCATTAATTTCCTCATCAAAAATTTTTTTATCTTTATCAGAAAATATTTTGGTATTTGTTTTGGATAAGGGAATCAGGTCTGCTCTTTCTCTATCAAGATCTCTTCTCAAAATGGAAATAAGATCTTGCAATCTTTGTTTATTCATCTCTGATTTTATCCAGGGCCAATCTAATTTAAAGAGTGGGTGAATCATTGCTGATAGTATATAGGGTTAAATTTTCTTCATCAGAAGAATCAACTATTATAGAGTTTGGCATATATTCTTAAAATAAATTATAATATAGAATAATAATATTAATATATACTTTGAATTTTGATTGAATATTATTTAGATTAAAATTTGATTGAAAGCGAAAATTTAAATAAGAATGAAAGGAATGGTGGTTGATATGAATTAAAAACTCGGTTTATTAAAAATTTAAATTCGGCTATGTACATACATCAGCTTCACCCATAATTTTTATTCTATTATTTCCATATGTAGTTGGTGCTTTAGCTCTTCTAAGTTTTGGCCTTCCGATTTTATTCCATATTATTTCATTAATAATGGTTACTGCCGAGCCAGTATCATATTCCATTTTAATTTTTTGGTTGTTTATTAATACCTCAATTGTTAGATGTTGCCCATTGTATATTTTTCTTATTGAGACATCCGAATCGTCCGAAGTGGTCAGGTTTCCTACATTTGCTGCACAATTTTCCGTGGGCGGGACAATTTCTAATAGCATGAAACCGATTACAGAAATAGCATGGTTTTCTCAAATTACTATTATTATTTGTATGGTAGTTATTATACCCGGGCACTAGTTCTCTTTTTACATAATCCGATTATTATTATCAAGTTTATTCGGCTCTTTGATTTTATATACCATTTTAGCAGTATTATTTATTTCTAAGTCGGCTCGTTCCATCGCTAAAGACAATTCTACCACTTAAAGCTTAAAGGTTGGTCTTCGTCTTTAGTATCTGGATATCTTAATGTAATATTTTGAAGAATTTAGAAGGATTGGGTGATTATAACCGTTGTCAAATAAAGAAAGGTTAGAACTAAAATGATACTAAATCAGACTAATATCCTCGATTATATATACTTTTCTATAATATTCGTCAAATAAAGAAAGGTTAGAACTAAAATGATAGTAAATCTTTATTAAATAATAAGATAAAAACATAATCAAAATAAATTAATATAAATTAAAATTAAAAATTAAAGATTAAAAAAAAATGTTCGTAAAATCATGATTTAATCCTTTATTGTAGTTATTTATCCAGTTGTGACCGATTAATTGATCTCGAATTCTCAGTTCTACATTGTCTTCAAATTCGCATCTTCGGGCTAGCTCCTTTATATTTTTAAATAGCTCTTTACGGATTCAGTAGCCCCAGTATATATTTGATATAATCAACATAGTCCTCGATAGAACAATATTCCTTTTTAAAGTCCTGGAGAATAATTTTATCCATAATTTCTAAATATATATAATTTTTTTTTTATAAACAGAAATTTTTTTATAATTCTATATATTATTAAACTTGACCGAAGACCGAAAACTGCGCGACTTAGATTTTTTTTAATTTATTTTGTCGCCATTTTTTATAGTCAAAACAATAGATTCTTTATTATAAAATTGTTTCCTATATATAGTCTTTTTATAATTATGTCATTTAACTACTACTAATATGCAATTACATTGACCTTCATAAGATAATATAAAATGTAAGAAATATATAATTCAAATAGCGTAACCTTTAAAAAAATATATAAACATTCAAATATAACATTTTGCACATCTTAATCTCTATTGTTTCATTAGACAATAGTGGGATATATGTCCAAATTTCCCACAACCTAAACATTTTGTCTTACAGCAATCACGGAGTATATGTATGACCTGGTTTGCCGCAATTATAACAACTCATCACTCCCCTCCCTTAGACTCAAAATTCTGTCTTATTTCTATTCTTCTTCCCGCGAGTTCTCTCTTGGCTCCCTATACGATCTCAAAGCTTGATTATTATCAAAATTCTGCCTTTCAGAACCAATACTTTTTTACTTACATCACTATCCGTCCACTCTTAATTAACTCACCTTTCCCATCACATCTTCCTCCCCATTATGTCTCTGAATGGTGAAAGTATGCCCCTTTATTTTTAGGCTACTATATTTTCTTATTCTCCTGCCCCAAATTAAACTGCATATCTATATTATCAATATTACTAACGCTCCAAAAATATTTTCCCAGTATTTTACAAATTTCAACGTCTTCATTTTTATTTATAAAAATAACTATCACTTTTAAAATGAATATCTTAACTATCTGTAGGGTTAAAAGATATACTATTATCAATACAATTGACAATCCCATAATACACATATACATCCGTTTTTCACGGTATTTATTAACTTAATATGGTACGCACAGACAGTTTTTATTACTTATCCTTTAAATATCACTCTTAACGAACTTTTTAATTAAACGTCCGACCCACGATTACCTAATACAGCGCCTAACTAACTCTTTAACTGAAAATGTGTATCTAATACAACACTTAACTAACTCTTAATTGAAACTTTCGGCACACGAATTACCTAATACAACGCTTAACTAACTCTTTAATTGAAACAACCCACACGGCTTATCTAATACAACACTTAACTAACCCTCAGGCACACGGATTATCTAATACAACTGAAAGGGTAACTTATATTAAACTTGAAAATTGTCTTGGCCACCACTATTCTAAACACAACTAATTTTTAATAAAGTTCAAATCAATGTAATTATAGTTTTTACCTTTGTTTTCTTTTCCTTTTGTTCTATTTCAAACCTTTGCTTCCTTTTTCGTTGTTTATTCCTTTATTTTATCCCCCCCTTTTTATTCTTTTTTTTTAAATTTCCTAAAAGTTTTGTGATACAATATTAAAGAACACAGAATTATTAGATACTCAAAAATAAGAGTAATAAAAATAAATTTGGAGGAAAATAATAATAATTTATTTCGTTTTTACCTCTTTTATTAAAAATAAATAAAATTGATTAATAATATAATTAATTTAAAAAATATGACATAAACAATTTTTTTATAATATATCTACTTTATTTTTCATCATCCAAAACAAACAAAGAAATCAATTTTTTATAAAACAAAAATATATTATTATAATATATAATAATACTATAAAAAAAAGAACGGAGATGGTGTGGCGCAGGGAAACAAAAATGAAAAGGGACGTAAGTGTTGTTTAGGATAGCTCTTTGGCTATAAGACTACCATTGAAACTGATATAATTAGCTTTGAGAATCGCTATGGATAGTCGTTGACGAAGAAAAAATCCTCTCGAGGTTCTTCTGAGAGTTTGCTGATTTGTGATCCTAAGTTTTTGAAAAATGCTAAGGCGAGTTTGCCGAAGGTGCCAAGAGTGGTTGATATGATTGGGGTGAAGCAATGATCGTTCATTATTTCTGTGTATTTAGAAGTTTTAAGTTGTTCCTTCTGGTCAAGGATGTTGATGGCGTGGTTGGATGGGGCCAAGGGGTCAATACAGGAATAGTCCCATACCAAAAGTTGGCCTCTCCTCCATGGGATTTGAGAGATCCCGTCAGGACGTTTACCGTCAGATCTAAAAAGACCCTGTGGTTCTAAAGTGGAAGAAATTTGGGCGGATTTCAGAGCATGTTGGATGATTGTATTACATTGCTTGTGTCTGATGAATCGTCCATTGCAGGAGCGACAATGTTAACTATGTCTACCCTTCGAGTCAACTGGCGAGTTGCACCCTGAGCAGATGTGAGGGTGAGTGATGGAACAATTTAGACGAATGCCGAAGGCGTGGGTAAATTCATTGTTGGATAGTTGAAGCTGAAGATTGGTAGATGGGATGGCCTCAAGAAACTCATGTCCCGTACCATTGAGCAGGGAAGAGAATAGGGTGCGGTCGGTAGATTGCATGCTAGATAAGAGAGTTTCAACGCAGCGAGCAACCACTGGTGCATCCCAGTCTTTCTGTCTATGGGTTGTGGGGGGATGAGAATCAGCATTGATCCTTGTTTTCCAAATATCCATAGCCACGATTAAGGAAAGGTCTTCTTTAGAATTATGGGCGGTGGTTATTGGCTTTGTCAAGAGGCTACTCGATATGAAAGTAGTTATTGCTAAGTCATGTGGAGATCTGTCTTTTTTTACTTCTTTTACAGATAATAATAATAATATACTAAAAGAATGACAGAGATAATTAAAAAAATATTTATCACCAAAAAATAAATGAATAAATTTACAATTTAACACACAAAAAGACCCACATTACAATATGTTCATTAGTGATCTGCATCGGGCCTAATTTTTCAAGCACGGCCCGAAATTTTTTTTAAAAAAGTTTTGCCGGCCCGGCCCGAACCCGAAATTTATTTTAAAAAAATTTAACGGCCCGGCCAAGCGCGAATTTATTTAAATATAGAAATTAATTTTTATAATTACTTAAAATAAAAGGCATATGTTATATAGCGTTTAGTTTCAATAAATTAAATCAAAAATTTTTATTTTACATAAAAAATTCAATATAAAATTGATAAATTTAGATATATTTAATAAAATTTCCAAAGTCCGACCTGACTTAGCCCGAAATTCTTTTAAAAATATTAGGCCCGGCCCGAACCCGATTATTTTAAAAAGAATTAGGCCCGAGCCCGGCCCAAAGTCCGTTCGGGCCGGGTACGGGTCGGGCCTAACTTTGCAGATCTCTAATGTTCATAATAAAATAAACATTTGGTTGCAATAACAAAAGCAATTAAAATTGATCGCTTTCGATTTACAGTTTGCCGTTGTTTTTAGACAGAAACTCTTATTATGAGAGCACAAAATGCATAAACAACATTTTTTATATTTTGTTCTCATCCAATTCCAGCATCATAGGAAAAATTAATTTAAAAAATGTAATTACCACTATTTTTACCATTCTTAACAAATTCCCACTTAAAACGAACATTTATTAAAAAGGATAACTTTTTACACTAAACATAATTTATTTAATTAAAATCAAGTGAATACAATTTGCTTAAAATAATTTTGTCCATCATTGATATTGCATAAAAATATATTATTAAGTACTCAAAATAAGCTAAATTTTTTAATAAAAAGAATATTTAAAAACTCATTTTTGAATAAAAAGAGTTGTGATATTTTATAGAAAAGAAAGCTCAAATTCAGATATTCTTATTTTTTACTCAGATAATTTTGCTTTAAGATTTCTTAATCAAAGTTAGTTATAAACCTTGCGTCGGCGAAACGATCGATGGCCGGTGCAAGTTTTAATAATCTAATCGGAGGCCAACGGGGTGTTGTTTTTATCCACCGTTAACATTGGTGATGTAAATCGACGCACCGACATAAATTTTTTATAATAGATATTTTTTTAATTGATAATTGAATTTTTTCAAGGGAAGCTAAATTAAATTAAAAATAAATGTACTTGAATATCAGTATATTTTTACTAAAAAAACTAATTATAAATTCAAACTCAACTTTGTAATTTTATGGTTCTCATGTATAAAACAATTTTATTAAAACTTGCCGGACATAAGGATAATTTCTTTGAATTCATAGTCAACCCATTTAGGCATACTAATTACTAAAACATAAAGTATTTATCTTTTGGCTAGAGTAGTAAAGTTCGGAAATTCGATCCTCTTTTCTTCCCAAATTTAGAACATCCATATCCTGTGAATGGTGTCTTTTGAGAAGAATATAGCATTCTTGCTCTGTCACTTAAAGCGGAATCCTAATTTGTGTTGTAGAATGTTTATATCTAACATTGTCAAATAATTTGTACTTGATATTTCCTCTTGGCTTCACTCTCTATATTTAATAATTTAATATCAACATATACTCTTTAAAGTTTGAGATGTTTGTTTAATAATAAATTCCGATGATGTGCAATTTCGTTCGATAAGATATTTTGTAACAATTTTTAATCTTTGAAATATTAGGTCTAGAAGAGAAGCCAACACCTAGATAATTTTTGAAAAAAGTTATTACTTGCAGATCACAAACTGGAAATCGTAAGGCGATTTTATAACATATTTGTCTTAAGTAAAATAATCCGAGTTATCATTATTATTTACTATTAAATGCTTTATATTTCATGAAAAGTAATGGCTTCAATGTTGGCCCTTTTTGTAAAGATGGAAATTCAACTGTTTCTTTAAATTTGAACAGAAAAATGAATAGTTTCTCAATGAGATCCGATTCATTGTTTGAAAGTTTGAGATAAAGTTTTCCAATCTTATTAAAACATAATTAATTAGATTTTTTTATTAGTCCTAGTAATTTCGAGCAGAAATTATATACTATGCGATATGGTTTGGACATTTAATTTTAATGTTCATATTTGAGTGTTGATATTGTTATTATCATCATTATTGGAACAATGCCAATCATTTATGAATTATTTTTTAAAAATGTATGCTCCGGCCGTGTGTCCCCGATGATTTTCATAAGCGACGGCGTATTCTGAATGGTCAAAAATATGCTGGCGCACAGGTCTAGTTATATTGAGGTTTCGCCTCAAACGATTTATTATTAATTATATACTCTAGCCTCAATATAACTATTTAAGGGCTTTACGTGCCCACCACCTTATTTCAACTATTATTTGGAGCTACAGTTTATGTTGCCTCTTTCTTTGGATTTTGATTTGTTGAAAAATTTTCGCTTTCCTTTTCTATGTTTGCTAATGAAAATAACTTCTATTCTCCGAGTATTTTATCATTTTTCGATATATTTCATATTATCTCAAGGGAATTCTCAGTTTTCATTGATTATTTTAAAACTAATTGTATTATATTTCTATAATGAATTAAATGTAAAAATACAAATTAGTCAAAACTTGACTTTAATTTAAAAGCGGACGCATTTTTTTTCAAAAAAAATATGAAAAGGGTCCATAAAGGGGCAATATCGAACTGAAAATCCTTAAATGCTATATGTTATATTCTAAATGTTAAAAAATAAAAAATTTAAAAAACAACTTTTAATATATAAAATATATGGATTAATCGGCCTCAAATCTACATTTTCTTGAGGGCCTCATAGGAAATGCCCACCTGGTAACCAGTCCGCCCCTGAATGTATTCCCTATGCGATATTTTATGTTCTCAGAAGATCGTCCATAATTAAGTTAATATTAGATTTAAAAATTGGCCTGAAGTTTTATGACTAGAAAAAATCAAATCATAATATTTTCTTATATATATGAAATTCGATTAACAAATTATTTTTTTTGTACTCTAGACTACGTTTAAAAAGCCCGATTCTGGTCGATTTCTTAAAACGACTCGATTAAGATGTTAGCCAAAATAATATTATTTGGTAAATAGAGGTCAAAACCTTTCTGCCATCTATGAGCAAAATGTCCAGGAGGCAATAATATTATTTTGGATACCGGGGTGGGGGATTTTTAACAACATTACTCTTATCTCCCTTTAGGTACCCGATCCGAAAAAACATATATATAATATCTTTATATATTATTCAATCTTAAAATAACCAATATTATAAATATCACATAAAATTGTCAATAAAATTTTTCAAAAATTTGCATCTGTTACCAAATAAAAAAAAGGGAAATCAATATCAAAATAAATTTACACAAGGTTACATTTTATTAAATAAAAAAAAAGAAGTTATAATTACCATTATTTAAATTTAATGTATTCTCTTTAAAATGTGGAATGGGCTTCAACATTGTTAACATTTTATTTTCAGATAATTCATTTACCATCGCATTAATGTAAATGACAGGCAAGCATTCCCCGATATAAAATATAATTTATATAATGCACAAACAATGAACAATCTTACGTATTTGAACAAATAGGGAAAAGGTAAAGTACCTTGTGATCGAAATAGATCCTTAATCATTTTTTGTTTTTATAATTTAATATATACTTTTTAAAACTTATTTTATTTAGGAATTCCAATTATGGAATCGAAGTAAATAAGATTAAATAAAAATAATATTTACAAAAAAATTTAAGTGAGAATCAATAATAACTACTAGTAAATATACAAATGATCAAATGATAAAAAAAAACAATATAAATCTAAATAAGAAACATATGCTACAAAAATTATTGAACAATATATTAATTAGATAATAAAGAATAATATCCAAACCAAATTATTCTTGAATTTTGTTTGCATCGAGATTAGGCATAAATAATTCTACAATCAGGTATTTATTTTATTTTGAATCTATTTATAATTAATTTTCGGGAAGAGTTGAATAGTATAGTGTTGTTAAATGGCTCGATTTTATAAAACGATAACACGATATTACCAAAAATATTACGAAAGCCTGGATATTTTGCTCATAGATGGCAGAAAGGTTTGGATATCTATAACGAAATTTCGGGGCATGAGCTATATATTTTTCGCTAAAATATTGGGTTAGCCATTTTTAAAAATCGAGCCGCTTAACAATACTATAGTTATTGTATTGAAAATCAAAATTTATAGTAATTTTATAATCTTTTAAAGTTAAGATATGTAAAAAATAACCATATTGAATTTTAAATTTTGAGCACTAAGACATCTGAAAGCAGTAATATTATATATGACGTAATTTAAGTTTTTAAAAAAAAATATTAGCTGAAAATATGTCGTCCTCTGACTCGGAAAGTGAAAAAAGCGATACCAAGTTATAGCTACTTATTTGTAATAATATATATATATGTATATCCCAATAGTGAGACACGCGAGGAAGGATCAGCAAAGCCCAATTTAAAGTTTGTATACAAAAAGAATTATTTTTTAAATTATATATTTCACTTTTTTAACACAAACTTTTGTTTTTATTTTTATTGTAATTCATTCCTTTTCCATAATATTAGGTTTTTTGTTATAATATTATGATCATAACTGTTATATAACCCACTTCCTCAAGGGGGACTGGCAAAAGGATAATTTAAACATAATGTTATGGACATCGGGGCATAAGTCAATTTTATTTCGATTTTGTTAATTTGACTATTTTTACAAATTTTTTAAATTAAATTATTTAAGAGGCCTATAATAATCTAAATTTTTATAACCATAAAATATAGACATGTGGCATCAACAAGGAGTGAAGAAGAAGATAAAATCTCCGGTCAAGGGGAAAAGACTGAGGCCCAAATAGCTATGGAAGTAATTTATTTTTATTATCAAAAGCGCTTGTCTCAAAACTACTTTTGACAATTTTTTTTCTGCTTGCTTTAAATTTTGTAATATTAGCGGTAGAATTATTGAATGCTGAGTTAAATTTAAAAAAAAAATCATATTTGTGCAGTTTTTAATCGAATTTAATGTAGTTTTATTAAATAAAATGTCAGTTTTTCACGAATTTTTAAAAATGATTTCAAAGATTTTTACTTATTTGCATGATATTTTTAATCCAATACGCAGTTTTAAAATATTTTATTTTTAAAAAAATAAAATTTCATTGAATATTATTAGAACATAAAATATTATATTCGCATTTAAATTGTCTATGAGGTAAAAATATAATAAACTAATCTAATATTGCATTTTTTTTTTAAAATAAACTCATTTTATTGGGTTATTAATATTGGTAATTTAATATATGAAATTTATTATGTCTTAAAAGGCTCAAAGGAAAAAACATCTAGAACAAGAAGAACAGTGGTTGAGCGAATATCAAGAGATGAGAACCCAAGAGAGGGAAAGAGAACAAGAAGAATTAGTGAAACTCAAAGAGAGACAGGTAAATATTTAAAGTTGATTACCCCCCCCCCCCCCCCCCATTCCTCCCTAAAAAATATATATAAATAATTGGATCTTATTTATCCCTATAAAAATTTAACGCAAAATAGCTAATTTCTTTAAATTTTATTTAATAATGTGAAGTGAATATCAACATATTTTTATTTTTATTCTGTTTGGGAAAAAATAGGCTGAAAGACGGAAGGAAAGAGTGGAAGAAGATAAAATTCTAGCCGAGAAACGACGAGTTATGGAAGAGAAACGAAAGGAAGAAGAGGTTATTTAATTATTTTGGCAATTTTATTACCAATTAATGCTATAAAATTGAAAAAAATGGATTTGATTGATTACTCTCGAAACTCTAATATATAGAGCTACGTTACTATTCATATTCTTGTAATCGGGGTCAGATGGGCTTCTTATTCCCAATGTATAAGTCCTTGAAATAATAATTTATTGAAATAATAATTTATTGAAAGAAAATATTAGTATTAGATAAATCAATTCCTGATTTTCATACAGCCCTGATCAGATTCCTATTTATATTTGTCTATCCTTTTTGGTTATATATGCATTACCATTATATAGGAAGAGATCCGTAAGAAACGAGAAGAAGAAAAACAAAGAAGACAAGCAGAGTCCGAAAAACGAAGAGCAGAACTACAAAATATTATGGGCGGTTATATCGGCGTTGCTCCCCAACCAAATTTTGTCATCGAAAAACGTGAAAAGGTTTTTATAACATCGGAATACAATGGCATGTCTAGGATTTTTTATTTATGTATTTTTTTTGGGAGGGGGACGATTTTTTAATAAAAATAGGGATTATTAATTTACTTGAGATAGAAGATTCTATTAATTTTTTTACATCAAATTATTAGGAAAAAAGGTGTTATAAAAAATATTCGTTTTGTTCTTTTCAATGTTTTCCTACTCTTGATTTGAAATTTTATAGACCTTATTTAAAATTTAAAAAGCATCCCTCCCCCTCCTCTAGTCACGAATTTTGAATAAATTGGGAGAATATTTTATTGAATAATATAATATTTTTATTTTTACTATACAAAGAATCAATATAGTAAGGCAAAATGATAATTGAATAAATATTTTTAACTTATCAGGTAACACCAATCGCTAAAGATAAAAGTCCAGAAGAAATGGCTAAAGAGAAGGAAGAAACCGTTCAACGAAGGCTTAAGGCCCTGAATCTTTCTGGACTTGGTGGCCAGGCATTAAAGGAAAGAGCGCGGGAATTACATAGGAAGATACTTAAATTAGAAACCGAACGCTATGAATCGGAGGATAGGATCAAAAGACAGGAATACGATGTAAAACACATTGATTTCTTCTTTAATAGATGATTTTTTTTTACCCTAATGTAATTTATTACAATAGTTAAAAGAATTGACAGAGCGACAGAGATTGATGCAAAAACAAAAAATGTAAGTTTTGAATATCATGAATTATATTTTTTAAATATATTTCTTTTTGAAACTCTTCTATTCTTCTGTTAATCTTCCAATTAATTAAAATATCGTTCCATATAGGGAACACACTATGATGACTCGCTATTTTTGTTCTTTTTTAAATATTATTATTATATTTAATTTATTATATATTTTTTGAATGTTACATACTTTTATTTCTTATAAATTAGTATCATAATTTAAACTAATATTTAGGTATAATATGGTTATATATATGGTTTATATTATATAATTTTTTTTTATTTAAGGATGAAGCTTGGAATAGATCCTACGTAAGAATTATACTTAAAATTAATAATAAAAATATGTTCATTTTTTTTATAAAATATCTATTTAAAAAATAATAATATCAGATCGGACGAAGCCAAATTTCCGGTAAACTTAAATATCTCAAAATTTTTGTTTATTCATAACTAATTAATAATTTAAATTGATTTCTTTTTTTATGTAAATGTATTCAGCCTAAAGTACAAGTGGCCAGTAAATATGAAAGAAGAACAGATAGAAGATCATATAATGATAGACGTTATCTCTTTGAGGATGTAAGTATAATATTTTTTAAATATAATTTAATAATGTTCTAAATGTACACCTCCTATACATATTACTTTTACAATAAATTTTTCTATAATAAAAGATCTAAATTCTGATAATAAGGAATGTTTATTGATTAACTACACGTCACTCTCGTTATATTTGTAGAGGGTTACTTGGGAAATAAAGCAAATGGCAATGCCAATTCTTAATTTTCCATAATAATTAACATGTACAAGTGACAGACAAATGAAAACTACACTATTTAATCATAGATTGCTAATCCCACTGCTGGGGGTGATATTCCAGAAGAATCTCATGAAGCGGAAACAGTAGCTGTTGAATAAAAATCTGATATCACTTATTAAGTTATTTTTAAACAAATTTATTAAGATTTTTGCACGAATCGATTTTAAATTTATTTTGTCTTCTCTAAATATCTTTCAAACACCGTTTCTAAAATACTTATAATTTTCTTATTTATTTCATGCCTGCTTTTGAAAAATATCTTCGTTGTAATCATTCCTTTAAACTTTCCGATGTTTTATTTTCATATAACATAAAATGAGTGTTTATTATCATTCATTAAGAGGATTAGATTTATAAAATGGTCTGCATGTGGGGAATTAGTTCACATTACACGAAAAACCTCACTGATTTGGGAATTGCCAAAGCCTCATTGTTTTTGGGAATTACCAGATTCTCAGTGGTTTTGGAAATTACCAAAGTTTTATTGGTTTGGGAGTATATCTAAATTAATGGATCGGTATAGAATTATAATTTCCTTTTGAAATAAGGGAGGTCGGGGTAAGGGCATGCCCAAGAGTTGAACTACTATAAAAACTATTCAATTTATATAGCTAAAGATATATAATTTTATAGGCTATTTAGTTTTATCATGAATTCATGATAATAAATTTTTCTGAAAAATATTTTCGGGGCGATATAAATTTTTCTGAAAAATATTTTCATGGCGATATAATTTTTTTTAGTAAATATTTTCAAATATAAATGCTAAGTTTATGAAACACCATAAAATTTGCTTATTTTTTTTCGCACCTTAAAATAAACTAACTTTAAAATATGGAAGAATTGATTTTAAATCAAATATTATAGACTAATGTGTTGAAGAATTCGTTAAAATTTAGGGTACTTTGTATAAATTTATCAATTCAATGATAGAATCTTCTTCCTCACTGCAAGACCTCGTAAGCAACATTTCTCAAAAAGGGGTTTTTTTACAGGAAAGTATATATTTTTATAGATTCTCTATCCTCACCTAAATTTTTGGATTTTACTAATTACCAGAAACATTTTTTCAATTGGAGTATATAGTAAACATTGGGGTACAATACCTCTCCAAAAATGTCCATATTTTAATAATAAAACATATTTTATGAAGAAATATTTATAATAATTATTAGATATATGTTCTTTATCACATTATTACCAAATTTATCTATTAAAATAGGAAAAATATTTTTTGTCTTTCTTGAATATTTAAAAAAAAAGCTACTTACGAGTTCTTGCAATGAAGACCACGATAGAGATTTTTCTGCAATATGAGAGTTTTTAATGATTAAATGTATATATAAAGATATATTTTGGTTTGTTTCTTAGTGTTCATAATCTAGATTCAAGATTATAGCCATAATAATATTACCCAAGTCTCGAAATTTTGTCCAAAAATTGTGATGCTCTTGGGCGGAATATTGAGGTTTAGATAATATTTTTTGGTTAAAATTTTGATCTAGTCGATTTCTAAAAATCGGCGACTCTAGATTTTTATCAATACAAAATTGATTTCATTAGAAAAAAGGGCTGCGTGGTCCCACCTCGGTGGATCATCCCGATCTCCATTATATCTGAATTCATTTGTATAAAATTATAACCCCATACTGTCTTGGGCTTGTGGGCATTTAAAACATGTGACACAATTTTGGTACCAATTGGCAGCTTTAAGATACAGTTCATGTATATTTACTATTCACAATTATTTATATCTTTATTAATTACCTTTCCCCCTCCAGGGTGTGCCTGATAAAGAAGTCAGAAAAGAACAAGTTCTACTACAAAAATAATTTTATAAAAATTTACTTATTTAAATAAAGTTTAAAAAAAACGACATTTTGGATGATTATATTTAAATTCATATAATTTTTTTTTGAATTTTATCGAAATCGCCTCTTATTTATAATAATTTACATGTTTCCAAAATATAAAAATATATATTTTAATTATAAAGGAATTTTGTTTTGCAAAAGTTTACTAAATGTACATTCTTTATAATATTTTGTCTTTATTTTCTAATAATAATATTTTGTCTTTTAATCAAAATATAGACTGATACGGCTTAAAATACCATAGATAAAGTATACTGATTAATTATTTGTTCTTTTTTAAAATCTTCTACCTACCTACAATACAATAATTTATATAGAGTCCACAATATCTTTGTAAATTCTTTTTGTGATTATATATTTTTTTCAATGTCAACAATATTTTTAATATTCAAAGATAATCATAGAAAATTTAATTAGCTATTTTAAATAATTTTTATTGCCTAAAATGTTCTTTGACTATTGTATATATAAAAAAATTTCCTATGCCAATCTTAAAAAGATTTTTTCGAACGGGACATTTTTTGCTTTTTATTATGATTAAATATGCTCACTAATTATTTTTAAAATATTCATAAGAATTTTGAATGAGCCTTCTAACCCATAGATTTATAATATATACATAGATTGATTATTAAAGTAAAAATAGAAAGAATCCATGTTAATTGGTCCTATTTATGCACAATAGGAAAATCGCCAGTGAATTACATGCTTTTTTTTGATAGAATTTCATTGACCCTTTGAATAGGGAAGGTTAAAAGTCTGCCCGTCTTTAATTTATAAGAATTATGTCCCATAAGCGCATTGACGACGCTCTAGCGGGGCGGGACGTGTCCACTTCCCCATCCTAACCTTTTCGTCCCAATAACTTTTCAAATTCGCAATTATACCTTATTTTTATTCATATATTCATACCAATTTAAAAAAAATGTATAATGAATTTTATTTATTATGAATTTAAAAGATAAAAGGAACATCAATCACAATTATATATTTAGTAAGAATTTTTGCAAAAGTTTCGGTCCGTTATAACTTTCGCCATGACGCTAAAATTTTACGAAAAGTCCGCCCCGACCCGTTAAGTTTTTTAAAGTAAATTTTCAGGCCCACTTTTAAATATACATATTTAATTTTTTCTTAATGTCAATTAAGGCTCTTATATCTCTCTCCTCTATGGCTATCTATTTCTTTCTAAACAACCGTTTTATAAATCAATTGTGTTTGATATTGTGTGTGTTTGTACATATCATGTTTAATTTTTTATGAATTTGCTCTATTATTTATAAATTTAGTATTGCAGTTAGACAGCTCTTAAAATACAAAGGAATAAGCATATTGTAAATATTTTCTAATATTAATCAAAATCTAAATGTTAGCTTAAAATTCAAATAAATATAGTATCAAAATTTTAATGCCTGGGCTGGTCTATTAAATTTTACGAAAAATCAGAGATTTATGAGGTTCTGCCAGATTTTTTATGTATAAATCTGGCTTAACAAATATTTTTTATATACGAATTGCCTTGTCTGCCTTATTTTTTGCCAGACCTGGCCCTCTAGCTGGATTTTGAGGAACAAATTTGCATAAATTATTTTTAAAACTAATTATTGTTCATTTTAATTTCTATTTTCTAATTTAAAATAATTTTTATCCAGGAATCCAGGGTTTAAGTCAGGTAGTAATTTTATTTTTTAAGAAATTCACTTTAAATAAACTATTTTTAAAATAATTAAGATGTTTTTAATTTTTAAATAAATATTCCCTTTTTTTGGTCCTTTTTGAAAGGCGCAACTTGTTCTAAAGTGTTATACCTGGACGGGACGAATACTAAGAAACGCTATTTTATTATAGGAAACTGCATGTCCCAGACAGAGGTACCTTCTATACTGGGAAATTTTATTTGCAGGTTCTATTTGATCAAAACATTTTTAGATCTAAACACTGGGATAGTGAGGAAGTGATAGAAATTAAATAAGGGGAAGCTACGCGAGACCTATTGATTATGAGAGATTTGGGTGCATAGCAAATGAGAATATTCGTTTTTCTTGTTTAGTCGAATAATTATAAATGTCATTATGCCGATATATTAATAAATTAGAATCAGCGATATATAAACTGCGACACAGTCAAGTGGACATACACTTATTAGGATCGCGTAAATTAATTTTTTAAAAATCATATTTCAATTTACCTCATTTCTATCTAACATGGGTAATATTATAAGGAAAGAGAACACCATTAGTTAATTTAACACTCCTTGCCTTAACGAGGTTCCTGCAAAAATTTGTAGCTAATCCCGAAGCAGTATTTAAGATATTCTCCTAAGGGTAAAAGGGAAAAATATCATAAATGCAAATAGTTTGTAAAAAATAGGATGTATATTTAAACAATATTTTCTAGTTTTTACCTTATATTTATGATTAAATTGGTCCTTCAAGTTCTAAAAAATAATATACAATAGATTTTAAAATTCTTATTGGAAATTAAGTTATATAGATATTTTGACATGGTTACAGGGTAATCTCCTATTTTAGGCTAAACTATATTTCTAAGTTTCATGTATTTTCATTGAATTGTTTTAAGGTATTTACATTCTAAATGCTTAAAAATTTGAGGCAATGTATGCACTTGAATAGGGGGCATCCTATCTACACTCGAACCAACCGGTCACTTTATAACCGATGGGAAACAAGTAGAATGTCGTCAATTCATTGGTCAAGTGGACAGCTTCTGGATTGAAACTTCATCTGCATTGGTTCAATGCCCCATCCAATCATAATATTGATGCCCTCGCAAAGGGGCGGACTGGCGACGCTACGGCCTCATGGGCATTTTTTTTATAGCGGCCTCATTTATATGGGGGCTTCTCCCCATACTCCCATTTTGCGGGCCATCGGCCCGCTTTTGCCCGGTCTTCGACCGGGTTTCCTTAAATGGCTTCTTATTTTTTGAAAATAAGTTCAAACGTTTTACATTTTTAGTAAAAATAAGAATAGTATTATACGATAATCATATATTTTATTTAAAAAAAATGCACATCTAAAATCATATTCATTACCTATATAAAATAATATTCATCGAAAAAATATATTTTATATTAGATTTACAACGATATTGCACTATAAAATTAAATCATACATCACATGTTAAATATAAAAAAAATGGATAATCAATATATTAAATCTTCTTCTTATCTTATCTAGCACGTTGGTCATAGACCTGCCTAAAATGAGCGAACGTGAATTTTATGAAGGCCCACCCTTCATAAAATTATGCCGATTTTTTTTCTCAAGGATACCAACAAACCTTGTACCCAGTTGTAGTTTAACTAAATGAGTGGAACTTACCCTTTCCGATATTGTAATTGTAATTTAATAATTAATAATATAAAGACATATATATCTTATCTGTTTTTTAGTCTTGAATAATTATATTCATGATGAGGAGTGAATTAAGAATATTTGAATCCACAGACATCAAAATTCTATTTCATTTGTTAGGTTATATTCTTCCAAAAGATCAACCGGAAAATCTTCGCCATTTGGGATGGATAGATCAATCAATATATTAAATCAATTAATTATAAATATAAAATTATTGCAGTTATACAATATTACAGATTATAAAATTGCTGCACTCTTATAAAATCAGGCACCGATCATATTGTAAATAATATTAATAAGATTCTAATAAAAGAATAAAGAAAATATATAATTTTACGTTAATAAATCTCTCATTAACTTTGAACCTTTGTGCAAATATACAGGAATATCTTCTAGTTCAATCTATGCTAATAGTTCTCGTTCAACTTACATCATTAAAAACGCTTCCTTGGTCAATAAGCTCTCAGCTTATTTTTATAATTTTTAATTTACTAAATACTTTCTCGCAATTAACCTGCGTAAATGATAAAGTTAAAATGTATTCATAAGCCAAAAATAAATTAGTGTCACTTGTATGCATATTGTATCTTTTAAGAATTTCATACACACATATTAAACACTTGGTACATTTATTATCACACTGATTTATTATCATATTGTAATCTTCCATCTTCTTCATTTGACTCCTCACTTGTACATGCGATATTATCGTCCGTTTCTTTTAATTCTGCTACCAAATCTTTGAATACACTGGCAATGAACATAATTCGTTATGAAATTTAACACTCAATATATATGCCAATTGTGCCAGTTTTTCCAAGGCCTTTTCAGAAATACCTTTACTATTTATTTCATCAAAATGTCTTGGATACAAATATTGCACAGATAAGCTCTCAATTCAAAGAAAGTAGTTCCGGATAGGACAAAATAGTTCGAACCTATAAAGGTCAATCGATTCTTGAGGACGTTCATCTTGGCATTTGTCACTATATATTCTCTTCGCTCGTCTTATTCGATCTTTTTACAGAGCATTTTGTACTCAGATACTCTCCGGGAGCTATAAATATGATAATGTTTCATTTAAATTAGTAGCCATTTTATTGCTTTATTTTGAATCGATGATGCAGAAGATTTAGCATCTTCTTACATTTTCCATGCTGACAAAGTACTTAATTTTTTAGTTTGAAGATATGACAGTAGCCCCATTATTTTAAAAATTTCCAAATATATTATAGCTGTACTTAGAGTCATAAATTTAATAAATTATCTAGTTTGTCTCAAATTATTTATTATCTATTATAAATTGAAGTGCCTTTATCGTTATTGGGAGCAAGCTCTCTTTACCATATATCCATCTAAGGGCTTTTTCACGCGCCCACCACTTTATCTCACCTATTTTTAGCAGCCTTCTCAACTTATTTTGGCCAGATGAATTATTCTGTTTTACCCAAGCATCCATCCTTTTATCTGATTCACCGACCTGGATTTTATTTGATTTCAATGAATTAAGAACAAGAAATGTTGGCTATATTATTTCTACAATTTATCAATGTATAAAATATAATATAATAAATTAATCAAAACTTAGCTTTCACTCTACTCAAACAGAAGCGTTTTCACTTCATTTGAAAAAAACAAAGAAAAGAACGTGGTAACGATGTTTAGCGCCAATCGACGTTATTGATATATTATGCATTAAAATATAGTAAAC